GCAACTGGGTTTTGTCTACCACCTGTGGCCATTCTGCAGACTTCAGTGCAACTTTAACTGGTAGGTTTTCTTTATATTTTTCAAGGTGAGATGAGTGGTGCTTTACCAGGGATTCTTTAAATCTAAATATGCACTGTTAGTCATGTTGACTCACACTCTCTCATCCATGGCTTCACACACTCATTGTCGAGATAGGGTGTTCCACAAGATCGCTTTATCAAGCAATAATTTACTTCATAAACATGTCCATTCCAGACCTTACCACCCATGAACTACATGGGTAAAGCAGGAGGGATTTGCTGACCATCCCTGCCATACCTTGAGTGAATAACTCAGTATGGTCTGCTTTTCAAAATAAGGTTTCGTGGTTACCCATTGTATTTTCTCCGGCGATGACATTACTCCGAGCTCTCCACCACATTGTCACCCTCCTTTCCTTGAGTGTAGAATGGGAGTCTTATCACATCCAGTTTCAAGTCGCTGGGGTGGTTGACCATGGAGGCACCTTCCACGAGAAAAAGAATTAGAACATTCAGTTGAGAATATGGCAGTGGTCTTCTGTTGGGATAGATGCTATGTGGCCTCCAAAGGAGTTGAACTGTCACCTTGCTCTTTGATGTGGCCTCCTAATCACAGTTATACAACAATACTGGAGTTGAGTCATCTCTTTACTGGATTACATGGCCTCCTGACACCAATTTTACACAACTGCTAGAGCTGAGCCATCACCTTCTGGGTTGACATGGCCTCCTGATACTATTTACACAACCAAGGGAGTTGAGCTGTCACCTTACTAGATGATGTGGCCTCCTGATAAACTTTACATAAACACTGGAGTTGAGCTGTCATAGTTGCAGTTCACCCATTTGATTGGGAAACCTCATCCTACCTTTCCATGGAAGTTGGTTCCCAGCATAGGGGTTTTGGATTAGAGTGAAACAATCAACATAAGTCCTCACACAAGTATGGATTATCCATCTTCCTACCCTAATTGCTCTGTCTTTGATCATAGCAGTAGTATGTGGGGTTGTTCTGGTGCTATCCTTTACTATCCCTCCTCCTCTTCTTATGAGGATGTTACTGCCTTTGGATGGTGCCAGCCTGTGCCATGGTTGGAGGAGCTGATTCCTTAAAATTGACATCCTTTCAATACCGTGTGCCAATTCCCGATTCAGTAGATTGGTGATGATTTTTGTGGCATACACAGAAATTGGTGCAGGTCTTAATCCCCGATTCTTGGGTTTGAGTAGAAGATGTATGATCTTCATCCTACCCTCGCATGAATGTTGGTACCCTGCGAGGAGTTATTGAATGTAGCTAACTTACCGAGTATGGTCCGCCATGCCCTAGCCACTCTACACCTCACTATTTCTGCTCTTGTGCATTACACAATCTACACATGGGCAAAAGTATACCTGGCTCAGAAGTGGTACAGTTCCACTCTTCTGATCTTCAGATCCATATCTCTCATTGTCAAGGGTATCCTTCAGATGCTTTTGGGGGTACTTTATTTCTTTCCTTGCATCAGTCCCTCCTCATTCTCAGTGTGGGATTCTAGCTAACCTCATGAGCAGAAGTAAGTAATGTATCAGCAGTTATAATTTTCCTATACTGAAAATGTATTTCCAACAGGTACTTACCTCCCTCACACTTCTCAAGTGCTCACACCTTCTGCCAAACTTCAAAGTGAATGTTTGGTAGAGGAGTGTAAAGAGAGTCACATGCATCATGTGAGCATATTATGCTACTATTGGTTAAGAAATGATGCATGATGATTTGCATGAGACACATGTTGGAATATAGTAATTCCATGAGTATAGGAAAGTTTGCATATAGAGGGCAGCACCAAACGAGTATAGCTAATCTTGTAATTACCAATCAGAAATACATTTTCAGTGTAAGAAAATTATAACTTTGTAGAGGCCAGTTTTATATTCTTAGACATGGTAGCATGTGTGCCGCACCATTGCAACTTCTGTAATGTTAGCTAGCACAGCTAGAAGGTCAATATAATAAAAATAATAAATATATATAAATGTATAATGTTATGACATTTATGCTATTTAAACTAAACATTTCTGTTTTCATGTTATAATTTGTAGTCATTCTAGAATGAAAAAAGCATAATTTATATTTATTTCCTAATTTTTTTATGGTGGTTACAAGATGGATCAAACCTACCGAACATGTACAGAGATTTGATTATGAAAATAACATATAAAATGTAAAGTTTTCTTAAAAAATGTTTGATAATTATCTGGACTTTATAAAGATTTTGCATGTGAAATTTGAAAATTTTCTGTTTCATGAAAGTATTTTTGATCTTAAAATCAAAATTACTAAGCATTTTGGATAGTCAACATGCAAAAAGAAAAAAGGCATGTGAAAAACATTACTTAAAAAATCTTAAAACTCAATAAAAAAATCTGATATCTTGTAATGTTTACTGATAATCTGCAAAATTTAGTGAAGATATACTTATTAACTTAAAAGTTAAATCATGAAAACTATAAAAAGCACAAAATGGTTATGACATCAGTTCCAGGGACTGAGCCCTTGCTGAAAGAACTAAACAGGACTCAGCAGAGGAGGGTGCACCTAGTGCAAATCACAGGAGAAAGTGCCCTTGGGATGCCTGGGCTCAAGCAGATATTTTCCGCACATACGATACCGAAAACTCCTCGTCCTCCTTTCTTTCTCAAAAATTAGTATTTATTTGCTGATGCTGCATTTTGGTGAGTCTTGCAACAGGAAAAAAATAATATATATGATTGGAGGGGGGTAAGTACCAGGGCCAGGGATTTCTCTCCCAGACCCTGCTCTTAATAAATGTTATAACCAATAGAAAGAGCACATTCCAAGCTACGGAAATCTGTCAGTCATTTATAATTGGCTTGAAGGAGAAACTTGTAATTTGACAGGAGATGGTGAAATCTATTGAGTAAGTTGTAGCTTTGAATAAAAATGGGGTTGCTTTTTAATCCACATATAGCTCTGTTACAAAGCCAGTTAAATTACAGTAGCTTTATATGTACCAGTACATTAATATGATAATTTTTTATTTTCTGAAATACATCTTTCAAATTACAAAATACTTATTTGCCTTCCCCCCACGACTTGAGGGAATAAACAAAGTTTGAGGTATAGCAAATACAACGTGCAAGTACAAATCAATTTCATAATATTGTAAGTTGTAGAAATTATTGTTTTTCAATAGATTTTTTATTTATTGTGTCAAATTTTAAAAAAATAACTAGAAATTAAGAATTTATGAATAAATAGTTTTAAAATTTTATGTGCTCATATGCACTTACTTTGTACACTTTTATCGCTAATTTCTGACCACCCCAGGAGGATAACTAACATCCAAACACCTGCCCAGTTTATTAGATCAACTTGGACTTTGTACAAAGCCATATATTTAAACATTTTCTCACACTTTTATTACTTTAAACAATTCTCATTATAATCACTGTACTATAAACAAGCCGATAAATCCTCTACAACTGTGCTCTTGAAGCTGGTATTTTGATAAACTGTGTATGAAAGTTCTGGTGATGGTACTGCACAAGTGTTTTTGCAATCAACAGTGTTATATTACAGTGTCACATAAACAGTCAAATGGCAGGATGAATCATTGCTTTATATTTTGCAGGAAATATTTAAATAAATTCTCAATCTTCACTTCTATATATCATGTAACCCATGTTTGCTCCAAATTGCCCACTTGAATATTATTTCCATCAGTATTTCAGCTTCTGAATTTTAATATCAATTACAAAACTATAGTATCGTTATTGCTGAGACATAATCTAATCTTATAGCTTACAGTTGTCTTGGTTTACAAGTATATAAACCAGAAAATCAAACCCATATACCTCACCCTACTATCATGTACTGTCTTTCAAGAAATGTGAATAATTTTCTCTGATGTTTACTATTACATTTCTCATAACTAACAGAAATAGAAGTGTTTAATTTACCAAATTACACATAATGCTGGCTTCTTTTATGACAGCTTTTAAATTATACTTTGTTTATGTTATGATTTGAAACAAATATTAACAACAACCATATTAAAAATTAGGTTTAACTTTTTACACAAGTGCCAAAAAGTACAAGACCCACATGTAAGTATTAAATTCCTTGTTTTGTATGTATATTTTTTACTTATTGTTACAAAAATAACTAGAATAAAAAATTAGAAACATGTTAGGTTATATAAAAAAAATAAGTTAAAAAGAAAATTAGATAAAAAACATTTCCCAGCAAGGTACGCACATGAGTTACATAATACAATATTTTTGTTTACCAAAACTTGTGCTATTCACTCACCGGGTGATTTTTCATTTTGTTATACAGGCTTAGTAGTTAGACATGATTCAAAGAAAAAGTAAAATTAAAAGAAAACAGTTGTAAACTGTTGCGAGTTTGAGGGTGTTAAGATAAATAATTGTTTTTTGTGTTACAGTCTTTAGTCATTCTTGAAAGGATTTAATTAATTTAGTATTTCTTGTGGTGATTAAAAGGTTGGCCAAATCAACTGAATCTTATAATATAAGGGTAGAGAAAATAATAGGTAAAACACAATTTTACTGAACATTTTTTGTATTAATTTAAGAGGTTTTATAGGTTCTTTAAATGAAATATAAAACTGTAAGATGTAAAAAGTTTTTATCTTAATGAAAGGTAAATTCAGAGTCAAATCTTTAGTAGAAATATTTTATTAAAAATTCTGATTTTTTATGTACAACATACTTGTAACATTTATTAAAAGCTTACCAATTTCGTGAAGATACATTTAGTAAATTTGTAATTATAGAATTTATAGTAAGTATTAATTCTCCAGGCTTGGTCTAGTGGACTGATCCTGTGCATTTAGTGTTAAAGTCTATAAGGTTTATAATCTCAAAGAGCTAACTTAAGTTTTTTAATTTATTTATAGGAATAAGTAAAATTATTGAACTTTTCTTTAATTACTTGAAAATTATTTTCTACAGGGCAAGAACATAGATAGTTATGATGATGGATTACTTGAACTGGAACAGTCATCCATGTCTCAACCTATTTCAGAGGTAGGCCTGGCCTAGTTTAAGCCTAGCTTAGGAAATCATACAGGTAATGATTCTAATTGACTGAAAGGAATCTTTATCAGTTGTGTATTAATATACAATTAGGCTTGTAGTTGGTGTCTTACAGTGGTATTAAGCTGTACTACATGCTTTGTGTGTGTGGCAGCATGGCTCAGTGGCTTTGCTATTTGGACTTGTAGTCAGGTGGTTGTAAATTTGAGGCTAACTTGCATCATGCTGTTGTGTCCTTGAGCAAGACACTTTACCCCACTTGTTCCAGTCTGACGGGTATCTAGCTGTTAGCTGGAAGTTAACTTGTGATGGACTGACATTCCATCCAGGCGAGAATTTGTCACCATTCTCATCTGCTTGTGCCATTGGAACCTGAGTTTGAAAGCACTATCCTTATGTACCTTGTAAAGACATGGCAAGGATTTAAATTTTTAACATCTCAACATGCACTGTATAGTGCATCAAATATTTGACATTCAATGAAAAGTTTAAAAAGTGGATTGTAATTAAGTAGTTTGACTCCTTTCATCCTTTCATGAATGCCAAACATCTTATGTTAAGAATCTACATTAGTATATATGAAGCATTTGTTATTTTATTTGGTTTCTATAGCATAATAAAAAAGTAAAGAGTTAATATTGTGCTATAAGCTGATGTACCTGCCTGCATATGCATAATTAATCAAGAGAATGTAAATTTTATTTGAAAAATTTAATTATTGAAAATTAAGATTTGTACTCTTTCAGTATATCTAGGTACCATGAAGCATTTTCTGTTTATTTCTACTATATTTTTTTTTTTTAACCTGACTACACATTTTTGGTTATCTTTTTTTGTTTATTAATTTGTTTTTTGCTTTAAACTTTCAAAGTATGTTCCCACTTGTTGGGAAAATGGAACTTACCTAATATCTGTCCTATGTATTTAATTGATAAGTTTATTATAGCTAGAGTACTTACTGTAAAAAGAGAATTTGATGCCATTGATTAACATAACTATAATTTTGGATGCATTGTTTTTAGATTTGAGATTTTTGTGGTTAAACTGTCCAATGTATAGTTAGTGAAAAGAGAAATGATGAAAACCACATATAATGTGTTAAGATAGTCAGAAAAATTAAAGATGAATGATTAGTAATTACTTTTTGTGTGTTGACCTATTCGTTATAAAAAACATAACTTGAAATTGTGTAAATTTAGATAAATAAATATACTTCACATTTTTTGTCAAGTAGTTTTCTAGTTCATTTATACATTACTAACACACATGACAGTTTTGAAGGAATCACACTACTACATCAAAATGCAAAGAAGACAAAATTACATTAAAATGGAAAAGTTTAAAATAATACACTAGCATATATTTAATTTGACTTTGGTTTTCACTGTTTGCAAAAGCTCAGTCTGCACTATAACACTAGCAGTCAAATCCCATTATTTGCTTAGGCAAGAGTAGCCTGAAAGTTAGCAGTACTCTTTTGTTTAGCAGCATTCTCTTAGTCTATCAGTTCAAAATTAGTTTACTATATGTTTATAGCCCTTTATGTGACTTTACGTGAAAATACTAAAGCATTAAAAAAAAGTGCTTTTATAAATTATTATAGGAGTATGAAAGGCTTAATTTATTAGAAGCACAAATTAAGTTTCAGATAATATTTGATTTAGTATTGTTGGTATTATTACATTTGTGGTATCCCTATCAATGGTCATCCTGACACAAATGATATTAGAATACACTTGAATTCTTTATCTAAAATAATAAATCTCAAACTTCATTCACATAAACAACACACTCAGTTCCACACTACTTAGCTATATATATATGAAAATTAGCTAGAAACGCAAACTTTAAAAATTTTGTTGTACCGTATTTGTTAATCTTATAAAAAATGAATTGATCACGGTTATGTATCAATAAATATTTTTATTAAACAAAAACAAAACTCTACATTGTACCATAGGTTTCTTTTGTTCACTTTAAGTCTACACTACTCAAAAATAAAATTGTGATTTTCCCTTTCTTCACACTTTGTAAAACTTTAAATAATTATCGTACAATTGGCTGTAATTTTTTAAGAAATACATATTTCTTACTGTCTGTTTTTATTAAACCAAAACCCAACAGAAATTTTAATAATTAAAAAAACTTAATTATTCCTTAATTAGTCACAAGAGTTATTGACCATGGCTTGAAACAAGTAATCTCAAAACAATCTGTACTTCTCAACAAGCTCACATCAAATGATTGATTACTTTTTTGAAGTTTCATCATTTTACCTTGCTTTTCTTTTGTAAAAAAAAAAGTTGTACCATTGTAGGTCCATTATTTTTCTCTCTTTTAACTGGCAGTGTAAAACTTGTATAAACAATACCTATCATAAATATTGACACGCAAAAATACTACACTGTTGAATTATACTCTAATCTGTTTTTTTCTTCATATCATTTTTACTCTTCTATGGTCATATATGCAGCAGCTTTAGTGTGTGTGTTTTTTCATAGAAGCAAGTTGAAATTGTTTTGCTAATATGCACAAGTAGAGATGCTGACCATTTGGAGTGTGTGTTTCTTGTATCAAAAACACTGTATACAAGTACTAGATACATTTGTTAACTTTCCTAAGGTTTCCCATATAATTCTGAACACTATGGTGCTAGTGTTAAATTTGTTAGTCAAGAAATGAATCATTTGATTTTTTTAAAACTTTTGCAAGTTGAGTCTATGGTAGGAATTTCAACTTATATTTTCATATTTTTAGCCCTCTTTCCACTTCCTGTTTAATTGCAAATATATTTGTGTGTTATATTTGCAATTAAACAGAATGTGGAAAAAAGATAAAAAAATTATCTTTCTAATTAACCTTACATGATTGAATTGTCCAGAATTTACATCATGTTATTCTCTTTTAATTTGTTTGTAGTGGCAAATTGACAGCATTTTGAGAATTTGTTCTTCAATAAAAATTTCAAAGCTAAATTACAAGAAAAACAAATAGCTTACTTTAAAAATACTAAAATTGATTGATCGCATTAGCATCATTTTAGTGTCAGAGGTGTTATGATGGCTTTAGTTTTATATTTAAGAAAAATGTATATGTAAAATGATGCTTTTGTTTAAAAACAAGTACTTCGCATTTTTCTTGGTTAAATCTAACTTATGAGTACAAAATATTTGTAGTTTATGTTTTTGGCATAAGTGTTTGGTCATTTATGTGTGAACACTTAGGCAGATGCTTTATGAGAAACTGAATTTGAAAAAGGTGTCAGGAATGGAGATATTATTCTTTTTCGGTAGTTAAAAGACACATACACAACTCTTGTTGCATTGAAAGTTTTGGTGCACAGATGGTTATCAATCATGTTTGTTAGTTTAAGGTAAAGGTTGATGTACATGTACTTTAAAGATCAAAATAATTTATTTTTACCAGAAATACAACAAATCTTGCTACGGAGTAGCATATTTTTGAACCTGTAAACTACAACTTGATGGGGGGGTGGTGAAATATAGTGTTAAATAATCTGCTTAGAAGACTGTTTCTACTCTGGGGTTTTGTTTGGGTTTCCACCTCTTTGCATTAGGATAATCTGGGGTACCGACTACTGCAGAAACATGGGTGGAAGACAGGACAAGGCTTAGGAAGAGCTCTACAAGGTAAGACATTGTTTTTTCTATTAAAACTTTTCAATATCAACTGGATGGTCAAAGCATTCCAAGATTCATTGTCTCTAAGATTCGTTACTGACATGTCTCTATGCAAACTCTCTCTAGATTCTATTTGAAGAGAATTTGTTTTGTATAGATATTAGGTGGCAGAGTAGTTTGAAAAGTGAAGTACTTTTATTTCTTCCACAAGTTACTTCTGCGTGTGATACGTAAATCACAATATGTGTACAAATAATTATTAGCTGTTGTTCTTATTCTGAAGATTTACATCCACAGAAATCAAGGTCTGTATTATTTATAGGAAACACATGCATTCTAGGTGTCAGTGATACATCTTCTGATATGTAAAATTTAATATTAAGCTTTGAATAAAATGGTAAAGCTATATTATTTTTATCACTGTCAGTAATTTTTGAAATTCTGTTTTTTAAATTACAAATATACTAAATTTACAATTTTTTTTAAGCATACAACCAAGTGCTCAAACTGTTAAGTTATAAAAATGTGCATATAATAAAATAATGATAAAAAGTTATAGCTCATATTTAGTGCTTATATTAGTAATCTTTTTTTTCTGGCTTGCTTTTTATCTGAATTGCAAAAACTTACTTAAAAGTAATAAAAAGTCTTGAATATGTTATATTAAAACAGTTTTGGATATGCAAATCAACAAATCATGTGACAACCACAACAAATATAAAGTTATGGTAGAATGTTATGTATCAGAACTACATTTTGACAATGTTTGGTGTTTTGTTGGTAGTGTTATTCCACCAAAAATTGGTCGCTTTTGGAAAGGATATATAAGAGCCCTTTCCATCACAAAATGTTCATATACAGTTATAATTATGTGTTCAGATCATTGAAAAACAAAGGAATATTAATCAACTTGGGGCACCAGGACCATCCAGACCCTCAGCAAGTCATAGCCCAGATGTGGTAAACAAAGTGCAGCACCTTTTAGAAGGTGAAAATCCATAGACACAAAGGTCAGTGGCAGAAAGCTATCCATGTGACCAAGGCAACACTACACAATATAATCAAGAAGGAACAGTCTGGAAAAGCAACGTATACATGCAAGTTTGTTTCATGACATATTTATTCAACTGTCACATGCCTTAAAGCAAAGTATCTGGAGAATGAAAGAGGTATTTGTGCTATTCCATACAAAGCCATATTGGTCAAGTTGCTAGATCTAGCACTTATCATTTTCTGTGTAATTGGACTTTTAAATCAGACACTGGGAAACCAGATGGTTAATAGAAAGTATGCAGTGAGGAAGGGTATATGTTGAACATGGCATTCTTATGCTGGAGTCTTTTAAAAATGGGAATTAAGATGCAGGGTTATTGTTGAGATAGATAGTGTTCAGATAGGGCATGACTTGATGCGCTGTAACAACATGTTGAGGTTCTAAAATAATTTTTATATGAAGTACTCAACCTCTTTATTATTAGTTACTATAAAAAACAGGTACTGCAGGTTCTTTTTCACATTCCTCTTAACCCTCTTGCCACGGGCATGTTTTTCTGCGCATATCATGAGGTTTTAGTGAGTTGAGTTCAAAATTTAGTTAAATTACTTTTTCTGATACAATATCTTACCACCCTTCACAGAATAGCTTTTCACCACTTGTACTGCCCTCTATATATGTACACATTTTTACTTGCCTCTACCCCTTATACTCCCACCTACCTTCATGTACTTTAACGTGAGGCAGCTGTGCAATAGCATGCAAATGAGCATGTGACAGACCCTCTACCAACAGGATTGCGATACAACTCCTAGCACAATTGCTTCCCTCTATACAGCTTAGCCCAACTTAATTGTTCCCCTGAGAGGTTTTCAGTGGTGGTTCATGCCATGTTTATTTTTCATGTTTGCACAATTTTCCTCTTCCATTTTTTCCATACTCACTTGGCTCCTCTGTTGTTGGTATATTTTGGGTCATACACCCTTTTATTCTGTGTACGTTTATCTCCAACCTCCTTACGGGACTTGCACATGGCTCCCTTTTTAAGGCAAGATGGCTTTGGGGGTCTTCCTGACTCATTGGAGACCAGAGTGGACTCTGCATGTTTGCACACCTCCCTTTTCTTATTGGCTTCTCATATATATCTACTTCATTCTGCACCTGTTCCCATGTCTCATCCCCCCACCTTTCTCTCCTTTAACAGTGCGTGCTCCATGGGTCTCTGAGGTTCACTGTCAGTTTGTTCATTGACGGCTTCAGCAGCCTTAGCGATCCTATTGACTGTGTGGTGGGTACAGGTCAGGTGGGGACCAGGGTTTTGCACTTTCCCACTGTTTGATAGTTCTTCACCACTGAGCCTCGAGTTCTGCAGGTTTTACGAAGGATTCATTCTTTGTTTCTGCTCCCCTCCTCCTCTCATCCTATATCCTTTCCCACTTCTTGGGATCCCATTTCTAGCCAGCATCTTTCCGAGGTAGTTCTGGATCTTCTTCACTTGAGTACTATAGAGTAGGGAAATTCTTTTCAGTGAAATTTCTATTCCTGTTTGTTCATAGTCCCCAGGAAAACCAGGGACTGGCACCCTGTCATTGATCTCTCTACCTTGAACTGCTTCCTAGATCGTTCTAGATTCACTATGGAGTTCTACCTATCTCTTCAATGTGCTTTCATTGCTGATCTTTGGATGATGAAGTTTAGATATCTTGGATGCTTACTTCCACATTCCCATATCCCCAGTATCCAGGTTTTTCTTCTTTTTCCATCATAGTTGTATATACCATTTCTGGTCTATTCCATTTGGGTTAACTTTAGATCCCTACATTTTTGTAGGGTTGTTAAGGCATTTGACTGTTTTTTACATTCCAGAGGCCTTTATTTCCACCATTATATGGATTACTGGCTGCTTCTAATTCTTTTGCATGCTACCTCTTCACTTCACTTTATTCAAGAAGTTGTATGGGTAGGTTGGCTGGTCATGGTGGAGAAGTCATTTGTCTCCCATACTCAATACCTTATTCATTGCAGTGTATTTTTAAATTCCTGTCTCAGCTGAGCCCACCTTTTTCCCCTTTGTTTGAAATCTATGGAGCTTCTGGTTTTGACTGATTTACTCTCTTTCTCCAGTTGCATGAGAAGTTCTATCTCTTCTGGGGATGTGGGCTTCTTTGGAGGCCCAAATTCCCTTTGGTTGAGCCCACATGGGACCTCTTCAGTGAGCTTTACTAGATCAGTGGAACCTCATTTGGGATCCCTTGGAAACCCCTGTCTATCTCTCTCCTTCCCTTTATGTGGATTTCACCTGGTGGTTGGACAGAGACAACTCCACAGTTTGTGTACCTCGTTCTTCTCCTCATTTGAGGGTGCACTTTTTCATGGATGCTTTTCTTTCAGGTTGGGTTGCATATCTGGACATGCAGGAGTTTTCAAGATGTTGGTATATATACGAGTCATCTCTTCATATGAATCTCTTGGAAGTGCTTGCTGTTTGTGGGGTTTTGGTTCCATTTTGTCTGTTTCTCTGGAACCTGTTGGTTGTGTTCCACTCTGACAACTCAGTAGTTGTTTTGGCCTTCACCTGGTAAGGTGTGCTCGGTTGAGGTCCCTTTGTTTCCATACGTTGGACCTCCTGTTTTGGGTCCACAGCCATCAAATTTGCTTGTTGGCATATCATATACTGAGTGCCCTGAATTTGGTAAAGGTTCATTTATGATCCTCCGACAAGATTCTCCCCACTGAGTGGTCCCTCAACACTCAAGTGTTTGGCTGGCTGTTTTCCCAGTGGGATACTCCATTTTGCCATATTGCATTTGCCATCCAACTGAATTCCAGGTTAAGTGTCATCAACAGCTAACAGCAAATGCAAAGAAAACTCAGGTAAGTACTTTATTTATTGTTTTTTTATATATCTATTTATTATTATAAAAGTAGCTAAAATGTAAAAATTGGAAACTTTTTAGGTCAGAAGAAGTGAAATAAAAAATAATAAGTAGCTTGTGAGTAGCTCGTCCATTATGTAATTCAATAATCTAACATGAGCTGCACGTTCACCAAGTGACTTACAACTTAATTTATATGGCATGAATATCAGTTAGACAAACTTGAAATGACAATAAAATTTAAATACAAACAGGTGTACACTTTTATGAGTTTAAAGATATTTAGGATAAATAAATGTAGTTTCATGTTACAATTTGAAGTCATTCTAGAAAGAAAAAAGGTTATTTAGATTTTTTTTTGGTAGTTATGAGGTCGATCAATTTGACCAACCTTGTACAGAGTTAGGGTAGAGAAAATAACAAACAAAAAAGTTTTACTGAAAAAGTTTTTTGAAATTTATTTAGTGTGTTTTAGAGATTACAGAAATGAAATTTGAGATTTTGGCGACAAAGAAAAGTATTTATAATCTTGATGTGAAAATCAATTTGCACTAGAACTAGCCAAAAATAGACTATATATTCATGGACAATTCTTTAATAAAAATACTTCATTCAAAAATCAGATTTTTTGTGTACACAATACCTGTAATGTTTACTCAAAGTCGGCCAGCTTTTGTGAAGATACACATATTTTATCAAAGTTATATTATGGAAACTATAAAAAAATACAAAATGGTTATGAATCTAATCAATTCGACCAACCCCGTGGCAAGAGAGTTAATTTGTCCATTATGGTTCATATACAAAGGTGTATAAAAATAGCTTTCCCACAAGTCAATGCTCAATAAGATTTTCATTCAATATTATGATTCATCGTTTGGGTTGGTCATTGAGAGAGAAAATGTCACATGACTTGAATAAAGCTCCTGTCCTGTGTGTATTGTCAACCTATGATGTAATCATCATTAGACTATAGCCCTCCACCAGTAAGAAGTAATACATCTTCCATATGCAGTAATACTCATGAGCACTAGTATTTGAACAAAGGTTTATTCTCTTCTCAACACTGCTTTGTTAAGACATGGTTTTTTTAGTCTTTGATAACATTTTGGGTTTATTATTTTAAAAATTTTGTTATC